AGCGTCATGCCTGTATTTAGATGAGGAGCAGGGTCTGGTTATTTCCATGCATTGATATACTTTCCATGTATTTAATTTTGTTGTGAGAAATTTGGTGAGTTATTGCATGGTTCCACGTGTTGCTAGCAGTTCCCAGGCATGGCGATTATCCCCTCTATAACAGCTGTATAACCTCAATTTTTTCCGATCAAGCCCACATAAAGCCTCTGCAAATCAATTGCCTTTAAATAACTTCACTAGATTCCAGGCAATTACACCTGTACAAACAATTTTGTTGATGATGTGCAAGAAAGGATAAGCTCTCCTTTTACTTTGCACTGGTTCGACGGAGCTGAAAGAAGTAAAAAGCACTGAGAATTTATTTCTGTCGCTGAAGTCAGCAGATGGGGTTGAACATGTGCAGAATATCTGCTGAGAAAGGGCTAGAAGGAACCGGTTTCCACATAGGTACTAAAACGTAAGCCTTTTAAAGAACGATTATGCCCTGGCTAGTGACCATGTTCATAGCATCTCAATGCACGGGACTGTACTGGACACTGAGAAGTTATCCAGCAGAGGGCAAGACAGCTCTGGGAAGAAGACCTCATTTCATCTCACATCACCAATCACAATATTTTGGGGGGATCTACAGAAGGGCACATATATCTTATTTGTATAGGTGGGAGTTAGCAAGAGAGAGACAGAAAGCTCTCCAAGCCTTGAGAAAGGAGAACCCAGCCCGGGGTGGAGTAACACTTAATCGAGACCAGAAAACTTTTGAGAAACAAAAGCAGAAGCTTAGGGAGAAATCATCTCCCTGTCATTTGCCATGCACTGTAGAAAAAAGAGACTTGTTCTCCTGTTAAACAATGCACAATGCGCTTCGTACCAACTACACTCATCTCTGGATGGGGAAAGGATGTAAACCCATCTGCCCAGTGTGGAGATAACTATGGAGGGTGGCCAGTCCCTGAAAAGCAAGGAAGACATTTGATCAAGAACGGGGTTACAAGTGCATGCATTTGTACTGAGGAATGTCTCTGAATTTATTTCCCAATTGCTTGCCATCTGAAAGCTAAATAAATAAATAAATAATCAGCAGAGAATTGAATAAAAAGATGTTGAAAAGAAAAAAGAATGAACCCCCCATCCCCAAAAATTAAAAAATTATGAGAGAACAGCTCCATGTCAGATTAGCTTTAAATCTTCTCAAGAAGGATGGAGACTCTTGCAACCAAAGCCTAGTTATTTCATGAGGCTGATGGGGAACATTTTCAGTCTGCCAACTAGATGCATTAATTTTTGGTTATAAGGGGCATTTTTTACTTGATTTAGATTTAATGCCATTGCATTTGGTTTAGATTTAGACTTGAACAATCAACAAAAGCACAGAATATTAAGTGTTCCTTCAAGGCCTATTCAAACCATATTCAAATAAGCTAAAGGGAGGCTTGTCAGGATTTCCAGGCTCAGACTACAGCTGGAAAGAAAAGCACTATTAACTTTAACAAACTGTGGGAAGGAAAATATTTTTCATCCAAAAGAAAATTAGCCTTCCATCTAGGTGAACTACTCTGTGCAAGTGCCTTGTCACACTGGACACTTGGCACGCATTTCTTCTGAAATCACAGTGAGCATTACTGCACCATACTAAAAGTAAGAACATGATCTGAGCAGTCACACAGTAACACTTACTATGATCTCAACCTGCTCTGGACAGGACTGGAGCCATGTCCAACAAAGGCACCAGCACTGGGTTCTGCAGCTCACATATCCACCAACAGGGACTTGCAACCCCCAGACCTGGAGTCTGTGCCCTCCCCACTGCATGCTCAGCCATGCCCAAGCAAGGTGCTTCTGCCCTGGGCATGCCAGGGTAAGCCAGGCCACTGCTGCTGGTGTTAGGTGGAGAGAGGTATGGGGAACCAAGCCTGGGAGAGGATGCTGCTTGATTTGCAGGATCTCTGCCCCCACCAGTTTTGAACCAGTTCTGATGTATGGCTGGGGCTGGGACTGAGACTGATAAGCAGCTGATTGTTGGTCCCAGCCCCAAACCTGCACCAGGGCAGGGCTGGTTCAAGAGTCCCAAGCAGTGCTAGGACTGGACTACTCCCAGCCCCTGCACTGCCCCGAGGAGTCGAGATGCGACAATGGAGTCGAGAGCGACAATAGCCGAACATGTGTTACTTCATACAATCTGGAGATACTCCTCCTGCAGGAAGTCTTAACTTTGGTACAATAGAATCACACTTAGCACATGTTTTACTACTTGAACACATGGGCACTCATCTTTTAAGTGCACTTACTGTGTCCTAAGTGTAACGTGTGACATGGCCCTAACAGCGCCCACGTGCAGCCTTGGAGATTTATGACTTCACACATCTTTAACAAATACTTTCAAAAGAGGAGTTGTTCCTTTCACGGTTTACTCTACATTTTAAACAATCTGTAACTGATTGGTCACATAGGCTACAGTTAACCATTTTCTGATTAATGCATTTTGCATTGCAATTTCATCACAAATCAGATAACACTTGCCTATTTTGCAGCCAGATTCTGATACATTCCCTTAATTCAGTGGTTCCTAACCTTTTTTTTACCATGGCCCGGCAGGAGTGGGACAGGGTGTGAGAGCTGGCTGCCTCCCTCCTGGAGCTACCCCACTGCCTGGCTTTCACCCCAGAAGCTCAGCTGTGACCCCAGAAGCTGCTCACCTGGATGGACAGACGGGGCTCCAAGCGGCGGGCTCATGCCACAACCCCACAGCCAACTCGCCATGGCCCAGTATTGGGCCTCGGCCTGGTGATTGAGAACCTCTGCCTTAATTTATCCCCTGCATAGTCCTACTGGATTTAACTGGGCTCAAAAAATGGCCTGTAACTTGCACTTGCAAACTGTGGGTCAGATCTTCGTACCATTACACATGTTTAATATGGCCTTATAGCATAAGTGGCCCACTGACATCAGTGGGACCAGACACAGAGGATGTAGCTATTCAGCATAGCAGGTTCTGGTCCCTAACTGGAAGCCAGTGGTTTTTTTCAGCCTGAACTGTATACCCCAAGATATTCCTTAAACCAAGGAAAATAACCAAAAGACGCCAAACACAACAGAATTCTTGTATCTTAAATTCATAGGATGCTGATTCAGTCTGAGCAAACAGGGATCTTTCAGGATGCCACGCTAGCCTAAAGGCAGACCAGTTAGGTCTTCTGTTGGCAAAGACTTATTGCCAAACATGGCCAAGGCTGTTGATTACCTTATGCACTTATAGAAGTAACAGATTACTTTAATCTCTGTACCACTTCAGCTAAGCTGGCCTGTGCACTGATAGTATAGAGTCAAGGATATGGCCATTTCCCAGTGCTATGTTGAAGAAGGAGAATAAGGGAGTTTCTCATGCTCATTTCCCTGGATGGGCATTCAAGGCAAAGGGTATCCTTGCTTCTAATCATGATGAAAATATTTTATTACCTGTGAGACCTTCCATTCGAAGTGTATGGGGAGTGGGTGGAAAAGAATCTACTATAGTTCACAGTATTTTTTTTTTCTTTCTCTTGCCTCCACCCCTTAAAAAGAAAACTTTTTTTTCCTGGTGCCTCGGTGCTTTGGGGAAAAAAAAAAGTATCCCCTTCTGCCGACATTCCCTTTTGAGTCTGGGAACCTCTATTGCCTTTTCTCCCATAATAAATGATAATAATTAAAGGCAAATACACAATAATTAGTCACACTAGGTTTATCCATCTGGCATACCTGTATCACATCACTGTGTCTTTGAAACAGATGACAAGCACCATATTGCACAACATCCTGCTAATGGGTCTGAGCAGGGAATGAGAAGGTAAAGGGGTTATCAAAAAAAAAAAAAGAAAAGAAAAGGTCAGCATGGGGGAATGAGAACATTTTATGTATTAAAAAAGAGTGGTAACTGACCACCAAGTTAAACATCCCTTGCAAACAGCTGTGCTTTCAATCAGGAGCTATAAAAGTATGGAAATATGCAGTATCCAGTTTAGACTGATGTATGTGTCTGTGAATTGATGGTCATTCCCTGGAATATTTTATCCTAAATGCAGCAGTACATAGACATTCAGTTTAAGATGTTTTAACGAGTTCATATTGGATCTTACCCTGGCTGTTTACATAATCTTAGTAAAGGTCACAGTGTGTTTTGGACTGAATAACCATCTTCTGTTTCTTTCTTATATATCACATAAATCAGACCTGCCCCCTCTATCCTGAATCACTAGCATTTGGGTGTGGAACTCATACTTGTTAGAGAATTATTAGTATGATGTCGGCAGGGTACCTGGTATAAGGTATTTGTAGCAGTCTTTTTTCATATGTGCCTGGGACTTGTAGATGTAAGACAAAGATTGGCAAAGAGTTTTCAAAAAGTATTCCTTTTTGCCCTCTACTCCTGATCGTGTACCATTGCCATTTCCATTCTTTGAAAGATGGCGTTTTACTTTCATAAATAATCACAGAGAGACAGTTTCAAAGTCACAAGTACTCTGATTTTTTTACTTTAGCCCTCTAGAAGTACTTGTATAGTCACTGAAGCAGGGCACAGAAATCAGTAACTACTGATATGGGTCATCATCATTTGTATTGCAGTGCCAAAAAGCTCATTTTGGATCAACATCTCTCTCTAGTAGGTGAAGCACAAACACAAAGCAAAAAGCCAGCTCCTGGCCCAATGAGTTCACAATCTAAGGCAAAAAACAACAGGTGGATTTCTGTCTACCTCCAACTAACCTATATGCTATATGCCTTCGATACTGCATTGCTGAAAACTGTTCCTGATTAGACTGTGAAGTTAGAAAGACTGCAAAAATGAATCAACTATTTAAGTACACTAGAAGCTAAAAATCAGAATGATTGCAAATTACACCCACTCTCCACTCATTTCACCCTGCTATAGGCGATGATGTAACATGCATGGCAAAGAATCAGGCTCTATAAAAGCAAAGTCAATGAACATATTGTCACATTATTTCCATTTTTACAAGCATTCTTACCTGATCTGTTTCCCGGGAACTTTATTTAATTTTTTTTTTTGGTTCTCCACAGTAAAAGTACCAATGCTTCAGGAGTTGTGAAGTAGTTCTGTAGCCACAAATTACAATGTGTTTGATGTGAGGGTTGGCAGATGGTACCTCCTTTGTTGGACAGCCAGACCTTGGGAGAAAAAAAATACTGCAAGCGTTAGTAAGCTTCCCCACTCTAGTGCACAATGTCATCTGATTTTCTCCAGTGACATCCAGGATTTCATGGAAGTATTAATCACTAATATCATTGCTTGTTTGCTTTCTTAAGGTGCCTGTCTAGGAAGACAGTAATATAATCAAATATGTATTCTGCATTGTCCAGAATAGCTCCACAGGTGCTGCCTGAAAAAGACAACATTTTACTTTCTATAGCACTTACTGGACCCTTCATTTGGATTACTCTGATATATATA